CCTTCAGAGTTCATATCTCTTTAGTCAGTGGCTGCCGATTCATTTCTGCCGGTAAATTGATATGATCGATAACAGAGACTTTAGAACCGTAATTAGCTTGCTTCTAAACAAATCTGTTTGAGAGAGGCATTAACAGGAAAGAAATTTGTTTTGGCTAGCTTTGTCAGAGAATAAGCAAGAGTCCTTTCTTGCCAAACCAACAACTTTATAAAACTTTCTTCACATCAGTCCACTTCTCGTTTCTTCAAAAAGCTTGCCTTCCTCAGTTCTACTGCTTCCTTCCGCCTGTCTCTTCTAAATTGCCATTGAACCTTCTTTTTTTGGGTGGGGTTTCTTTTTTCAAGCCTTCGCAGACCTTAGTAGGTCAAGCTAGCGAAAGGAAATGCGGTCAGCGATCTTCCGCTACTGGCGAACCAACAGAGTTTAGGGTCTATATGGAAAACGTTTCACAATATGCATTATTCTTTTGTCTGCCAGCGTTTATTGTTGCCAGAATATCATTCACTTGAATTACCTCCGAGAGCTTCCTTCCCACACAGAATTTGAAATATGGAGAATAACTTCGCAGCATAATATCCCAAGGTCCTTGTTTGGCAAAGACTGTTGTGAATTCTAGCGACTGCGACTCAGTCATTTATAAAGTTCATTTTCAAAAAACTAAACTAACGATTGAAACTTCGAAATTCTGTTACCTCCAGGATTCTTGAATGAATGGCCGTGAATGTTCCAGAGGCATCTGGAATCAGTGAGCTATCGGCAGTGCAAGGTAATCCAGAATCCGGCTGATGTCTTGACAGCAGAAGACGCAAGCTTCGCTGCGTTGAAGCACGGTCGAAAAGCTCAATCACTCGATCAAGGTCCAGCTGATTTCGAACCGGCACCACTAGTTCATTATTACGTAACGTGTAGTAAATGTTCAGCCTCAGATTATACCTGTAGTGGAACAAAATTTTATTCTAAGAGCTTCGAAGCTACAACAGTGAAAAGTGTCAGTCCTACTACCGATTGCAAACACATTTTGGGTTTTTTTTTTTTAAAAAAATTGGCAGAGAAGATTTAGCAATCAACAATTTAGCTCTCGTATACCTTGAATTCATATGATTCTCCAGGTCACTGAATCGCACCGGCCGGCTCATTTCGATACAGAATTTTTCACCTCGAAATTCAGCTTTGATTCGAATTCTCGATGATTCTGCTGAAGCTGCTGGTGAAGTAACTGAAATCCTTGGCTGTTGGGAGGAAGCAATTTCCAGGAGGCCGCTGCGAATGACAGAATAGATGTCCGGTTGCGAAGATCCATCCCTATCCATTCGACGATAATCGTTGATCCACTACCTACAAAACAAGACCAAAGAAAAGTTTAAGCTGAAATAAAATTGGCATGCTGACGCTGCATCTAAATGCTAACCATTGGGGAACGAAAAATAATCAGTTTACTGAACAATACCCTTCGTTTTTTTTTGCTAAAAAATCTTTACTGGACAATACCCTTCGTTTTTTTGCTAAAAAATGAGTTTTTTGTGACTTTTTACATTGATACTGTTACTTCTGAACATTTAAGCATTCAAAGCATTTCCAATTTTTTTCGAAAATTTTTTTAAATTTTTTTGCCGCTATGAAATCAGTTCTCAAGTCCTATCATACACTGATCTGCGATCTCAATCTTATATTCAAAGTAATTTTTCAAATTAAGGTACTCCCGTTTTTATGCGTTTTGCGTTGTGTAAACGCGGCGCAAAACGCATATTGTTACACAGTTGCCTCTGTGTGTGTGTGTGTGTGTGTGCGTGTGTGTGTGCGTGTGTGTGTGTATGTGTGTCCGAGTGCATTTTGTCTCGCACTTTCGACTCGGGGACTAGAAAAGCTAGGAGATTGAAATTTTAGGAGAATGTCCTTTCAACCAAAGGCGACCTCGCGAATTTAAATTCAGTTTTACTGTGAATCTGGGGCTCCGTGAAAGTTTTGGTGGGAAAAATTATTATCTCAGGAATCATAGAAGCTAAGAATTTAAAATTTTAAGAGAATATTCCTGTTTTAAGGGAATGCACGGCCTGGCAAATTAATTCCAGCTTTCCCCTGCGTCTAGTAAAAGTACGGCCCCGCGAAAGTTTTGGTAGGAAAATTATTATCTCAGGAACCACAAAAAGTAGGAAGTTGAAATTTCGGTAAAGTGTCCGGGGTTTCAAATTCAACTTTCACTTAGTGTTACGTGAGATTTTTTTAATGGCAAGTTTATCTTAGAAGCCAAGCAATATATGGGCTATTTTTCATACG